ATACGATATCGAAATAAATAAGATATAGTCAGATTTAATCATAAAAACGAAAGTATTATATATAAAGAGATTTTTATCCATCTCAGTATCGACACATAATAAAAGTATTTCCCATCATATCAAACATAACAAAACATGTTTGAAAAAGTTCTAGATGGTTTAAAATGAATTCTTTTATAGAAATTTTGTAAAAATTTTAATGTGACATCTTTTTAAAATAAATTTAAACCATTACCACATAAATATAGATATGTGAAAATTGAATGTTTGTTTAAATAATTCTTAGATGAAAAATATTTTTATAAGAAATACAAAAATAAATTTATTTTATTTGTAAAAGATTGAATAAAATATTCTGAATGATTAAATATCATAATAATCAGGAATATTTAATAAAAATTATTTAATTATTTAAATTAAAAGAGATTAATGATTTTTTTTTCTATTTTTATTTATTATTGAATAAAGAATAATATGATATATTAATCATTATTTTTATCACATTTGAGAAAGTATCTGTAATTCATGCAACCACCCAACTTTTTGAGATACCTTGGTAGTGTTTTCGTACAACCACTCACACTCACCTACTTTGATAACAACTTAGAGAAAATAGGCCCTGAACAAAGTCCAGAAAATGAACTTCTTCAACACAACCAACCAAAATCTCTCTTATGGTTCGTATAAACGACTTAGTGAGTCCCTATAACCACCCACAGAATCACGTAATCTACGTTTTTGCAAAATAAGGGTTTGCAAAGAATCATTTTACATATTCAATAAAAATAATTCATATTGAAAAAAAATAAGGTTTCTTTGTCTTTGATCTTTTCTTTTCTACATTTGAAACAATATTTGAATATAAAATAATAAATTTTCAAGTATAAAAAAGACTGAATATTCAATAAACTATCTTGATGGTATAATTGAGGATGAGTTATATTGGAAGCATTATTCACCCATACCATCAAGTTGAATTAGACATAGAATCGATCAGTTAGATATGTACAAAGCCAAATGTCATGTTACAGCCATTCTACTATAATAGGGATTTTTGAGTACAGCTCACTATAATTTGATTGATGAAATATAAGTATTTCATGATAAAATAGAAAATACAGCTGTTAGTTTTTTCACACAATATTAAATTTGATTATTTGAAGAAAAATGCTTCAGTTTACACTCAACATGGTTGATTATTATACAGCATAAAAATAAACTTATCGAAGTTCTAATTCTCTTTATAGTCAAAATGGTACGTCATACAAATTTTGATTGCACTGACTCGTACAGGAACAGAATGTCTAAAGAATAAACAAATTTTCTTCTTTATTATTAAAAGGCTATTTTGCAACTGAATTGATCAAGTAAGAAAAAGAATATTTTATTCATCCATTAAATCATTTTATTTTAAAAAAATAAGGAGAAGAAAGAGAATGATCGAAGTGAATCCTCCTTACTTCTTGTCAAAGAGGAGAAAAATAAAGAAGATGCTGTGATACATCTTCTTTCGAATTGTGCAAGAAGTAAACAAAAATGTGGAATAAAATAAGAAAAAGAAAAATGTGGATGAACAATGTGATGGTCATGTGGGAGATGGAAAAAGATCAAAAATGTTAGTTTAACAACAGCAAACCTTGGCACATGATCTTTTGACAGTGACAGTTTTCTTTCTGATGACTTTGCAACATGGTTTGCAACAGCACACAGTTTTAGTTACACAACATTTTGGACCGCAGCAGCATGAACCACAACATGGATCACAGCAAGAGCAACAACAAGGATCACAACAGCATGGATCACAGCATGAACTACAACAAGAACCACAACCGCAGCCACAGCCACAGCCACAGCCACAACCGCAACCACATCCACAACCACAGCCTGGCATATTAATAGTAATAATGTAGTGAAGAGTAAAACTGAAGTAAGATGAGAACTGATTTGTGAAACTATGAGAATAGGTGTGTATATATATATAGAGGTAGAAAAACGAACAAAATTGTTTTCAGTCAACAAAACAGTTAACTACTGTCCTCACATGACAATATTTAATATACAAATATCATAGAAAAATACATGAAGAGACATATGCAACTCTTTGTTACTATTCATGCAATAGAACACAAATATGAAATTCACACTTATTATTAATGTCTTTCCTTTGAATTGTTTTGATAGTATAGAAAACATCTAAATTTAATTTCACATTCACCTTGTGACCACAACTCTCAAGGGGTAAATGTCGTTTGATACACTTTTTTTTTATAAAAAACCGTGCTAATCGAAAAAAAAACAAACTAAATTTTTTTGATGAAAAATATTGATACTCACGTTCTAGTACACACATACTGTAGTATCGTGAAATTACGTAAATATCATAACATAACACAAGACAAGAGAAAGCAATAAGAAAAATAGATAATATACTAATACCACACCCTCACTCACAGCTGTCCACCCACACCCATCCTTTTTTTGCATGAGAAAGCATCACTGATTTCTTGTAAGTTGAATAGATTATATTTTAATGAATGAATAAATGAAAAAAAGGCGCAAAAAGTCTTGTCTTTTTCTCATGCTCAGGTAAACTGCCGAAGCTTAAAGGCCGCGAGCATGTGTAACGGGTAAAACTCGAAAAATGCGCTTGGTGTGATAGTCGATACAGCGATGATCACGTGCTAGTACGCATCCAGGACCGTTTGGATCATAGATCTTGTCCCGATGTAGCAATATAAAATGCGATTGAGTAACAAAGCCAGTTTCATCTGGATCGGCCAAAATATTCTGTGGATCTGCTGCAGTATAGAAGCTGAGACCGAATAGGTCATCTAAGGTGATCAATTCTTCGATGTAAAACTTCATTTTGCGCGCATCATGAGGACAATAAGCTAATTTCATTCCATATGGCTTCAGGGCAGCTGACCAAGAAACAGGATCTTGCGTATTTATGTTGCCTTGAAAGTCTTTGGGTGTCTTACCGGTGAGCATGGCCAGACAAGTGGACACACAGGCGGGACCTTTTTGAAGGAGTGGTTGGATGACAAGGTCACGAAAGTAGTGTTCTCCATCTTCTGTTGACCAGACAGGCGTATTTGGGTTACTCTTAAATGTTGACATTGCTGGGGGTGGCAAATTTATCTAAAATATATGTCTTTCTTCGTGATAAACCGAGAAAATAGCTGAGTATGGGTGTGGTATATAGTTGTGGGTGTAGGTTGATGTTGATGTTAGTTGTGAATGGGTAAATTCTATTCTCTCAATTACACCCATACTCGCAACCGATTGTTTGATTTTTTCAACTTACATCTGCTGACTCCAGAACACTAAGATGTTGAAGGAATGATTTTTCCTCATTCTGTGGCGTATTTCGAAATAAAGCGATGTCAACAGATTGAATAAGATCTTCAAATTCAGTAATACGTTCTTCGAGGAGATCCGTACTGACCTAAATATTATTTATTAATATTGCTAAAAAAACTTAATCAATAGAGAATATTTACTTTATTTTCAATGACACAAGCAATTTTTAATATTCTGATTCCGTAAGCAATTGGCACGAAGCAAGCTATAACAATAGTTTTATTTAAAATATCTCAATAGAAATTGAATACTTACAGGTACCCCAAATAAGTCCATCTAATTCAATTGAACGAACATTTTTTTCAAGTTCTTCCATATTTGTTTCATCATCCCACGGTTTAACCTAATTAAAAAAATTACTAAAATTCTATTCAATTGTTTAATACATACATCAAGAATAATTCCACTTTTTGCAATAGGAGCTGGTTCTAAAAGCAAATCTTTTTTAAAATTTTCTTTTTTCTTCTTTCTTTTTTTTTACTTTTCGCATTTTCCTCGATATGAGCCTTTACACGTTGTTTTCTAATTTCACTTTCTTCTTCATTATCATTATTACTAAATAAATCAAAATCGTCATCTGGATTAACAGAAGATAATTTCGATTCATGTTTTTCTTGATTATCTTGTCGTTTATAATATTCAAGCGATTGACGTTGACCTTGAAATCTTAAGAAAATTTTAATGTAACGATTGAATAAATAAATAAATAAATTTACTTTTGTCTTTCAGCATCATCAAATGAAGAAATATGATTATACCATCGAAGAACATTTTCAAGATCAGCCGATGGAACATTTTTTATAGCTTCAAATACAACAACATCACCTTGGCTTGGACAATATCTATTAATGAAAATAAAAATTATATTTTATTTCAAGAAGAAAATCAAACAAACCCTTCGATATATGATTTATCAGCAAGGAAACTATTGAGCAAAACAAGTCCATCGTCAGATTGAAGATCACCAAAGTTCATTTTATTTTTGAAAAATAATAAATAAAAAAGAAAAAAACTCTAAAAAGAAAAAAAAATACGAGAAATCATAGTTTATATATGCAGTTGTCGATGAGTGTGTTCGTGTGGATGCTATGTCTACATTCACACGTTTACCCTCAGATGCTACTGTCAGTAGACAGAATAATTCATAATATTTTGCAAAGTGGGAAAAAATAATATGCTGCTTTATAATCGATAGAAAAGAAAAACAGTCACTGCATCATAATTTCATCATGCATGTTCGTATAGAATGAGCGAACGAATTTATCGAGAAGAAATAATTCAAACAACAATCATACAAAATGTTTCGTTCTTTCATAAGAGAATTCATTAGGTATATATTTAGAATTATTATAAAACTATATAAGATTAATATAATGAATATTATCAAAATGTACAAGATATTACCAACATAAACATTATAATATTAATCTAAATAAAAATATAATTATAATTAGCATAGTTGAAGTTTCTTTTAAATCATCACACTATTCTCTTAGGGGCTACTGTACCAAAAAAACTAATTTTGAATTTTGAATTTCGAAAATTCATCTAACACGTTCGTCTACAAGTATTTCTTTTCTATACGTTTCTTCTTTTTCTAACTAAATGTAATAGTTGATTAAATATACCAAATTCGAATAGTGCATATTTTTGATTCATAATTTATTTATTCACTATTTGCATATACGCGTAATAGTGCTTCTCTTAAGTACTTTATTTTTTCTTCAATTTATATTCCGCGAAAAACGTGTTTGTTGATACACATAATTCTTGAAATACGAAAAAGAATCGTATTCCTGATTGATACAATGAACAGAGCGTGAATGTGTTTGTCTTTTCTTCACTCATATCCACATTACCTTATCAATAAATAAATCAAGTTATGGAAAACAATCTATTCAAAATGGATAGGCATAGATTGTATCCTTAATTAATTAGCAATCTATAAATCAGTTAATAAAATCGGTGATTAAACAGTAATAGAAAAGCCTAGTTTATCACGGAATTTTAAGATATATATTTCTCCTTTTATAATCGTTTACAATCCCTTCGATTTGTTGGTGAAATATTGTCTAGATCATTCGAAGTGTTATTAATTGAACCAAATAATTCATCAGAATCACTTTATTTAATAAATTGATACTAATTCAATTTATCTACGAAATACTTGTCGATTATTTTAAGTTAAATTAATTTTTAAATTCGAATACGAAGTTTTTTATTTAATAACAGATGAACAGAAAACGTCTTAACAAGAAATATATATTGAAAATACATGAGAAAAAGAAAATATAATTCAATTTTTATTGATTGATCATCTTCTATATATCATGATCATGGATCATCAACACTTTTAATTGTTCCATTAAAGCTGATTTTCTATATACTAAATCGTTATAAATCTGTTTCTGTGCGAAATTCATGTTGTGTGCCATGTGACCAGGTGCATTTTCGATCATATTTTCTATCTGAAAAGTAATTCTCATGATTTGAAAAGCTAAATCATGCTTCTAAAATAAATAAAAATAGATCATTGAGACTAAGTAAAAACTTTTGATTGGGAAAAAAAACTGAACTTAGTTCTGTACATTATATGTTATTGCCATAGGTTGACCAACATAAAGCAAAGGAAAACAAATATTCGTCAGAATAAATAAATACAATCTTTCGTCGAATGCTTTTTTCGCACATTTTATATATATGTTCATCTTAATAATGTTCGTCAAATGTGAAGAGTGAAAAGGACTGAATATATTCATTACAAACGAAAGATAAATTAAAGGTCAAATGCCACGCGTCGATATAGCGTGTATTCTTTTTTTCTATTATCCATCTGATAGAATATAAATTCAATAATGTGTAAGCAAAAATAACTTAGTATCAAATGATTTATTCTTATTTAAAATGAGAAATATGTCTCTAATCATTCTTTTCAACAACTGGCTTGAGTGAATTCTAATTGATATGGTGTGGGTGTATGTAGAATGAGTTTTCACTTTTCCTTTTGTTTTTATTTCTCGATTTTTTTTATTCAACGAAATATTTCATTCACAAAATTATTTCAAATTTTTGAACTCGATCGTTTCCATCATCAACAACATAAAGATTTTCTTCATCATCAAAAAATAAACCACTGGCACCGTTCAATTGATTTGATTGATCTCCTTCACCATTTCCACCGACAACAATTTCACCTTTTTCTTTTCCTTCATGCCAACGCATTACTCGGTTATGATCAAAATCTACCACATAGATTTGACCCAAATCATCCACAATCAATCCTGCAGGTAAAGACAATTGATTCAGATTTCCTCCTTCACCATTTCCTCCGGCCACAACTATTCCTTCTTTGGCATCTTTTCTCCATTTCATCACACGGCGATTGTCTCTATCTGTTACATAAACAGATTGATCTTCATCAACAAAGATAAACGTAGGATAATGGAGTTGATTGAGTTGATCTCCTTTTCCATGTCCGCCTGCCACTACAACTCCTTCATTGTTGTATTCGCCCATTTTCCATCGTCTCACTTCATTGTTCATATAATCATTAACATAAAGAAAGCCATGTTTATCGATTGCCAAACGAGAACAGTCAATATTATGAATGAGAATTTTTTGCTTTTCATTCATCCATTGAATCACTCGTCTGTTATCACGATCAGCAATGATGATGGAATGATTTTGTCGATCAATAATCACATCTGTTGGTCGATCCAATTGATCTATGCGATCTCCTTTGCCATTTCCACCGGCAATAATTTGACCTTTCTTTGCATCATGTTTCCATTCAACAATACGATGATTATGGACATCAGCAATGAAAATATTCTTCTTGTTATCAATAAAGATTGCAGAAGGCCCATTGAATTGATTTAATTTTTGTCCTTTTCCATTTCCGCCAGCCACGGTGATGGCATGTTGTTTCCATTTATGACCGATCTTATCTAAAACAGATGAAATTTATAGTTCCAAAGTATCGTGCGAGTGTGGATAAGAATGCTGCATCTATCGTCCACCGATTCACTCACTTACTATCTGTCGAACATGGACCATCTTCAGATGTGTTCTCACATATTTCAGATTTGATTTGAACTATGAAAGTAATAAACTAATACATATAAACATATAAAATAGAATATAAATCAAACCTGTTATGCTAAAATATGAAATCAATGGATGTTAACAAAATTAGTGATAAGAATCAATAATTATTTACCTGAGAATAATGAAAACGATGTAGCAGTAGACATTAATTGTATTCATAGTTGGTTTTAAAATAAGAGGATATAATGAAAAAATATGTGTTTTTATATCTAAAACATAGATAATATCTTAAGTCAATATAATTGAAATATAACAGATGCATTTATTCACATATCGATAGTTGGAAATTTCATATCTACTTCCTTCCTTCTAATCTTTTTGATTCTATCCTAGAACAAATACAATAAAAATGTGATTTAAAAATGCATAGATCATCATGTGATAAAGTAAAGATTCAACTGATATTACTATATTTTTCGAAGAGTGAAATATTTATCAATAACACTGAAAGTAGGTTGTCTTAAGCGCCGCATTTATCAGCTATAAAATTTTGTTCTCTTTACTAAGATAAAAGTAATGTTTGTGGAGAATAGTTATTTTTTACATTGCAAAGAACTATTGTATTTAAATGTAATTTCAGATATAATTTTGATTTGCATATAATAAGAGAAGGAGAATGTTTTTTGGAGTATTTAATCTGGAGGGTGGGATAGCTTTATTACACCCACATCCAGCCAGACCAACACTCTCATCCTCATCAAAATTAGCGAACTAAATTCAATTTTCCAGAAAAAAATCAAAAATACTGTTCTTTGTTTTTTTTTTATCAAAAAATTCCATTTTGTTCAATATTTATTAGATTTCTTAAATGATTTTCAATGATAAAACTTTATTTTTTCTTTTATTTCTCGATTATTTATTTAATAAAAAAATTTCTTTTCGATTATACAAAGTCAAAATTTTATTCACAAAATTATGTCAAATTTTGCAATTCGATGATTCCAACGATCAGCAACATAAAGAATTCCTTCATCATGAAATGATAAACCAGCGGGACCATTGAATTGATTTAATTGATTTCCTTTACCATTTCCACCAACAACAATTTCACCTTCCTCTTTTCCTTCACACCAACGCATTATTCGATGATTCTCAAAATCTGCCACATAGATTTGACCCAAATCATCAATAATCACTCCTCGAGGATGAAACAATTGATCGAGATTTTCTCCTTGACCATTTCCTCCAGCCACAACTATTCCTTTTGTCGCACCTTTTCTCCATTTTATCACACGATTATTGTAGGCATCTGATACATAAACAGATTGTTCTCCATCGACAAAAATAAAACCTGGGTGATTGAGTTGATTGAGTTCACTACCTTCACCATTTCCACCGGCCACTATAATTCCTTCATTGTTGTATTTTCCAATTTTCCATCGTCTCACTTCATTCTTCTTGCAGTCGGAAACATAAAGAAATCCATATTTATCTATTGCCAGACGAGAACAATCAATATTGTGAATGAGAATTAGTTGTTGCTTTTGATTCAACCATTCGATCACTCGTCTGTTCCCGTGATCAGCAATGATGATAGAATGACTTAGTTGATCAACAATCACATCTGTTGGTAGATTCAATTGATGTATTCGATTTCCTTTACCATTTCCACCGGCAGTGGTTTGCCCTTCCTTTGCATCACATCTCCACTCAACAATACGATGATTGTAAGAATCAGCGATGAAAATATTTTTCGTTTCATCAATAAAAATTGCAACAGGCTGATTGAGTTGATTCAATTTCTGCTCTTGTCCATTTCCGCCAGCCACAGTGATGGCATTTTGTTTCAATTTGTCCCATTTTGGTTCTAGAAAATGATGGGAACAAAAGGTCTTGAAGACGAGAAAAACAGTTGTTTTTCATAAAAGAAAAGAGAAAAATAAATGTGTAGTGAAAAGACAAATTTTGTTTTGTTTCTTTGTTGAATTTTGAGAATAATTTTACTGAACAAATTACATAGATTATTGGAAGTTTTTCGTTTAGAAAATAAAATGAAATACTGTTGAGATTAATTTTATCATCTTCGTCAGCACTTTTCTTTGTTGTTACCGTTTTTTAGCATAAAGTCATAGAAAATGAGAATTATTCTTCTAGAAATCATTTCCTATTAACTTACTTATTGATGAAATAATAGAAATATCAGTAATAAACGGTTGTGAGTTTTGTTGAATAGAAGTTTTTGGTGGATTATTTAATTCTTCTCTAATTTTTCTTAGTTGATTTGATAAATAATTCAAATTAATTTCATTAAAGTCATTTTCTTTCTGAAGTTCTTGTATTTGTTCACTTAAATCATTAAATTTCATTTCAATACCATCAATAAATGTGTGTGACGATTTAAGAACAATTTCTCTACAATCGTTGGCTTTTTGTTTAATTTTGCCAATTAGATTCATTTCCCATTGATCAATTTGTTTTATTAGTGAACGATTTTGTGGATTTTGTTTTTGTTCATTCATTGATAGTTTAAATTCACCATAATCATTAATAATATGATTTAATTCATCATTTAATATTTGTTTATGTTTTGCTAAATCCATAAAACAAAATTCTTTTAAACATCCTTTACAAGGATATGTTATTTTCTCTTCATTACAAATAAAACATGGTGTTTTGTTATTTGCTATTACCATGCTATTGAATATAAAGGACACCGCGGGATAAGATAGCAAATCTGCCACCCCCCTGGAT